ACTTTTAAACTGTAACATATACTTAAATATAGGTTTAGCTTATGCAGAATTATGTTATTATGTTGCATCAGCCAATGTGATATTATAGGAATGAAATGCATAGAAACATTTTCTAATTTATTTGTTATGACACAAAATGTAAAATATTAAAACAGGGGCAAGATGGCCCCTATTGGAGTAAATTGGCATATTTTAATAAAAGGTATGTCATAATATCAACACTATGAATGCAAATTTAATTTACACTCAATTAACCTATTGGTTTTAAGCAAAAGAGACAATGTCTGAAATTTTATTCATAGAAATATTGAATAATAAACCCATGAATTACAATAAGTATTATATTTAAATATTAAAAATAGTGTAGCCATTCATCAAAAGTGCTGAGATGAGATTTTGTGCCATCTATTGTTTTTATTATTATTATTATTTCTTACAAACACTGACAGTGAGAATAAGGTGATGGAATCAAGGAACATGCATTTTTTTCTTGTGACATACAGAAAACATGGTTTTTGAAGTCAACAGGCTAAGGACAACACATTCTCATGACTTTTTGTAAGTATTTTATGATTTGGCAAATTGGCGCTCATTGCACCCCGAGGGTTAGGTTTGGGGTGCATCTTAATTACCTACAAATTGTACATTTTTTGTCAGATTGTACTAATTCATATTAAAATGCAGACCTGTACAATACTTACAAATTCTCAACTTTTCTGTTTTCTGGCCAGCAAAAAAAAAGCATAGACCTGAACTCCACTGAACCCTTTCAGGATTAACTGGAACAACAACTGAGAGCCCTTTTTCTCAATGTTGGTGCTTTACTGTTGCGCTTATCTTGTTGAACATTTAATGTAAAAAATTTGAAAGGCCAGTCAGTAAACCATTGTTTGATAGAACCTGCTGTGCAGACACAGAAAGATTTTCCACAAACTGCTGCTGCTGCAAAAAAAGTGGAATGTGGCATTAAGTTTAGTTCTCACTAATGTAATGGAAAAGTCAAGCCTGTTCTCAAGAAAGGGCTGTTGACATTGGACACAGAGTGTGTGTAGGTTATCATTATTTGTGGTAGGGCTAAACAGTTGTTTCCAACAGAATATTCAAGAGAGACAGGGGACAAAAGACAAAATCAGAAAAATCAAACACACCTGAACCAGCTAATCAAGGTCTTCAAGATCACTCGAAAGCTACAGGGAGGTGAGTTTGATAAGGGTTGGAGCTAAACTCTGCAGGACAGTGGCCCTCCAGGACTGAAGTTGTCCATCACTGCTCTAGAATGTCATTATGATTAGTTTTCACTAATGTAATGGAATAGTCAAGCCTATAGGTAATCATTATTTGTGATGGGGTTCAACAATTGTTTCCAACAGAATATTCAAGAGAGAAAGGGGACGAAAGACAAAATCAGAAAAAAAAAATATTCAGGACTTGGAATGGAGATTTTCACAGAAGTATTTACAGTTTATGTTTCACCGCTCAGTCAAAACTACTATTATACTACTATAACTACTAAACTACTATACTACTATTACTACCACAGATCCAACTATAAAAACAAAAGATAATGAACACAAAAACATTTGTACATGCATGCACTGTTGTGGCAAAGAAATCCACTTGAAAATAATAAAGTAACTCACCTTTCGTCACTGTAATGAAGTCAGTTTATTTCATCTTGCATGACAGCATCCCAGCCTCAGCAAGGACATATTGGAGGATGAACCTGTTTAAATCATTAAAGGGGTCATATGATGCGATTTAAATTTTTCCTTTCTCTTTGGAGTGTTACAAGCTCTTGGTGCATAAAGAAGATCTGTAAAGTTGCAAAGACTAAAGTCTCAAATCCAAAGAGATATTCTTTATAAAAGTTAAGAGTCAACCACGCCTACCTAAAACGGCTCGTTCTAACACGTGAAGCGGAGTCCAGCCCGGGGTCGCCACATGTGGTTGCCGCAAGCCCGCACGCCGCTCCTTCGTCAAATCCGCCGGCCACGCCGTTCTCAAGCCCGCCGGGCTCCGCTCACTCTAGCCGCCGTGTGTGATGCAATGGAGGACCGTTTCCTGAACCTGCAGAGTAGCCTACAATGCGTCTCTGCTCAAAGACCGTTTCTTTAAAGTGAGTTTTGGGCAGTGTAGAGTAGCGCTTGTTGTTTGTCATTTCTCCGATCACAAATGCAGACATGGTTTTATGTTTACGCGGCTTAAACCGCATAAACACATTTCATTACACCAAATACACAAAATAATGTTATTTTTTAGCAACATCATATGACCCCTTTAATTAGTTTACAGTATAATATATTATACTGTATATTGTAATATATAATATATTGTAATTGACTTTAAAATATAAACCTACCATAAAAAATATTATTCACTGGTGTAAAAAATGTGAACTAGCCATGATTGTATATATAAGATAGCATCTACATGGTACTTGAAGGTGAACTATGTTTTGAAAAAAATGTTTTTACATTCTTAATCATGTCATCTGTATTTGGGTCTAACGATTTCAGCCTATGGACAATTTGATTGAGCAATAAAAGATGGGACTGACAAGGCACAAAGGGCTTATTATACCATAATAAAATCATTGTTAATCCTAAATTCGCAGCTAATCAATTTCACAGATGATCAAATAATATATAATAAAAAACCCAGACCCAGAGAGCACACTGATGGAGTCGTGGAGGACAAGTTGCATTTCTTCACAGAGTGCAGCAAATAAGACCATTAAAGACAATTACTTTTCTCAAACAGCTTGAATTTCTACCTGATTTCCAGTGAGCAAGTCATTTAGAAAGACTATTGGGAGAAAAGGAAGAATGTGTCCAGCTCACAGCGCAATATATGTCAATATGTCAATCTTTCTTTGTGTGGGTTTATTATATAATTTATGTGTGTGTGTGTGTGTGTGTGTATAATATGTTTATTGCTTATTGTTTGGCAAAATTGTGCTACTCTACACATTCATACCATTAATCACAGTCATGCTCATTCAAACTGAACTGAATTGAATTGAGTTGAGTTGAAAGAGAGAGAGAGAGATTATCTGAACATCTGTTCGATGAAGAGATTTTAACACACTCAGTGCATTTTCATGAGTGCATTGACACAACATAATCCTTGTAACCTCAGAAGTGATTTTAAAGCTTCATTAAATTACATTTTAACATATAATATAAGCTTGTTTGAAACTGAACAGGTCTGGTTTCATTCATAATTAAATGATTCACAATACCCACTGTGCTACTGCAATAGTGATCATTCTCACCATGAACGTAGGCTCAAATTTGTGTATCAAAGTGGCTTATGTTTCAGTGTTACATATCATTCTAGATCAGCGGTAGGCAAGTTCGGTCCTAGAGAGCCGCAGTCCTGCAGAGTTCAGCTCCAATCCTAATCAAACACACCTGAACAAGCTAATCAATGTCTTCAGGATTACTAAGGCTATAGGCAGGTGAGCTTTTTTTTCAGGGTTGGTGCGGAACTCTACAGTACTGCGGCTCTCTAGGACCGAACTTGCCTACCCCTGTTCTAGATAAATGTGAAATATGTCATATATAAGTGGTTATATAAAACAAGGCTTAGGCCATTTCAAGTTAATCTTAGTTAATATATACTCTGTCAGGTACAAAAAAAAAAGGTTAAAAAAAAATCTTGTACAACCATCCAGAGTATAGGAGGAAGAAGACTCTTATTGATGCCCTTAATGTATATATATGTGAAGCTGCCTATAGGTACCAAGCACCATTTGATATTTCAACACCAATATCTGTCTGTATGAAATGTACAAAAGTGCATGTTGGCAGCAAGCTGGGATTTTATATATGAAGACTTCAGATGCAAAAACCTCTGAGATTTTTCTTTTAAATGAGCATTTGTATCAGGCTCCTGTGTTCAGTAATTTCACTTTAATGGCAAAAAAAAAAGTTATTAGTCAGTTATTGAATGCCTTTTTAAAAAATGTCCAATGTTATTTTCATAGGAGCCTGATAAAAATGCTTATTTAAAAGAAAAATCTCAGATGGACTTTTTGCATCTTAAGTCTTATAAAATGTACAAAATTAACAAGAACAAATCATTTAAAAAGCTGATGTCTTGGGATATGTATAGAAAATCTGGTCATATACAACATAAACTAATACAGCAAATATCCAATTCCAATTCAGTGGTTGTGTCTACTATAACAAATCAAATTGCACCAGATTTCAAAAGGTCCTATTCTCCACATGACAAAAGGTTATGTCACTTATTTTGTAAAAAGTGCATGTCGACTGCAGGCTATGGGTGTCACTTTTCATATCATACTTTGTTATGAACTACTAGACAAATAAGACTGTAATCATGAGAATACAAATGCATCAGATATACATTTTCAATCATCACAAAGCACTTAACGCAAACTCATTTAAAACATATCTGTGAAAAGAAACATTTTAGCCTATTGGCAAACATGTCTGGATCTTCAAAGAGAACCTTGTGCTTCAAAAATATGAAATCAAATGATATAACAAAATATCTTTTCGGTTTACTTAAAAAAATATTAAAAACATGCCACACCACCAGAAACAACAAAAACACATTTAAAGAGTTTAAAGCTCTGTGAGCTAAAGTGTTGTAAAGAAACACTTTATAACATACTTACTTAAAACTTTTTAAGCTAACCATTTCCACCACCAAGTTGACCTTTCAGGGGTTTTTTTTAAATGAAGGGAATAAAATACATAAAAACTGTTTTGTCAAGTTTCAATCCCCCCATCCCCCTATATTGCTACCTCTTCCCCTATGGTATGAGACAAGGGCAATTTGGCCAAAAATAAGGAAACATATAATTTTTTGGCTAATATTAGACTTTTTTTAAGCATCAAAGACATATTTAAGCATGAAAGTATGTTGGAAATTTTAGAAGTATTTATGAACTCCCAGCCCTACTTCAAGGGGAAATATATATATATATATATATATATTATACTAGTGCTCATTTCCAACTGTAAGTGCTGAGCTTAGGACACTTATCTGCTGCTCAGCTTCCCTTGCCTTGGAGGCCCACTGACCCCATCATCCAGCCCTGTATCAGCAACACATAAAAAAAAAACACTGATGATGTCCTTATGCCATTTCGAATCCATCACATCTCAAAAATCCCAGTTCCTAGTTAACAAAAACATCCCACTTAGTCAAAGCTTTAACACTAATAAGCATATCAGGTACTCCTTGAAAATACTCATAAAACTGTTGCTTAGTTCGTGGATCCTATGGATGTCATATAGCCTGACGATGCAGATTGTGAGTTTATAAATCTATTTGTGCTTCCTTTGCTTTCCCCTTTAGGCAGGTGCTTCTGGTCCACCCAAGCAGGTGCATCTAGCTGTCCTGTCCTAATACTTGAATACGACTGATCCCCTGTCCGTGCACCCTGTCCCAAAGGAACAGGCTCGGATGCACGCTTGGCATCATGCCTGTGCTCAGGGCATCGCTTGATGCCCGAGCCTTTGCCACCGCCGCTCCTGCAGTCGTTCCCGTCCTTCGCCTTTCTCTGCAGATCCTGAGGGATCTCGCCTGGCGTGGCTCCTTTGCCGTGCTCAGAGCAGCGTCTCAACGCTTGAGGCTCGCGCTCAAAGTGCGTGAGCGGGAAATGCGGCAACAAAACAACGTGCTGCTCGAAGGTCTCTGGAACCAGAGAGATCGCAGAGGCTCGCCGTGGGCTTCTCATTGGACTAGCCAGTGGCGTCTCATCAATGAAGTTAATCACTTCGTCGCGGCTAAAGCACTTGAAATCGCCCTCATAACGCTCGACTCGTGGAATCTGCTTGAGCGAATGCATGTCCTCGGATCGCCTCCTTTTGCGGTGTGGGTGGCTCTCCTCGTGATAGGATGCCGGGCTGCTGCGACGTCTCTCGTGGCGTGGCGAGCTGTATTGCGGGATGCCAATGATGTCCTCTGTGGAGCCCCAGCGATGCAGGTAAGACGGGATCTGACCGGTGGTCCACATGTCGGTTTCGTCGTGGGAGTATCTTCTTGTAGGGGGCACCTGGAGTAACACACAAACGAATGAACCAGGACATTTCTAAAAGCGAAAAATGCTGGCTCAAACTCTAAGGACCTAAAACACGTTCTCAAAGCGTTTGCATCTCGTATGATGCCAGAATCAATGGAATTCTGTGAACTATAATGGCAACACAGGCCTGTTTTCACTTTAAAGTACTAAATATTCATAGATCTACCTTTTAATAGGGATAAAACTGTGGACAATTTAATATGATTTTGCTTGGTTTATAATCACTCATTCTACAGATACTCACATTCCACATTGTTCTGAGAACTACACAGGAAAGACATAAAATGAGCTTTTAGTATTTAAAATAACTTTAAGTACACTATCCAAAGCATACAGCACAAGCCTAGCATGAAAGCAACTGTATTGGTTAATGCAGGAATGAGACAGCAGTTTACAAAGAAGCCCTATATATGCATTATGAGGACTGATTGATAGGTGTACTATACTCTGGCCAGTAGAGGGAAGCAAAGCATCATTAAAGCAACGGCATTCAGTTTTTCCTTTTATAGGCTTTTATAATGGTTGGGTAGTGAAATTTCTTCAAAAACCAATACTGATGATCTTATCTATTTAAATAGATCAACTTATACACACGGTTTTTTTAAATTTTTTTTTTACGTTTTGGCATTTTTAAACCTTGTTACTCTGCTGACTTAAATGATATGTCTATTTTATAAAAGCTTGTAATCTTGCTTTAAATATACTGCCCATTGATAAAACATCATTTTCTCTCATATAAAATTTGTCTTAGTTACTTCACAATTGATGGACAGTTTTAAATATTATTGTTTGGCAGCCTTTAATGTTCTATAAGCCTGAATGGCTTGATAGCAAAAACAGTAGCAGCTTGTACTTCCCAATTATTATGGCATTCCAATATTTTACATAGTGATGATGATGCAAAACACTGGTGAAATTGAAAAAGAACATTGTTTCTACTGAAATAGTAGTCTAAAAGTACCAAAAAGTGAATAATGTTCTCATGCAGACACACCAGCTTTCAGTTCTTTATCGATACTCATCAGTGTTTTTTTGCCAAATGTCTTTGGAACAATTCTAACACACACAATGTTAATGGTAGTTTTATAAACTTTGAAGAGAACTTCAAAAGTTGTTTCGTGCAATGTATATAGCAATAAAATCAGCAATGGGAAGCAGTCAAGCACTGCAGATTGCCTAACAGAGCTTTGGGAAGTGTTTGTTATACACATTTATGGCATATTCTCCACATTTAACCTCCAAGTCCAAATTTCTAATGCAGACACACCAGCTTTCAGTTCTTTATCGATACTCATCAGTGTTTTTTTGCCAAATGTCTTTGGAAAAATTCTAACACACACAATGTTAATGGTAGTTTTATAAACTTTGAAGAGAACTTCAAAAGTTGTTTCGTGCAATGTATATAGCAATAAAATCAGCAATGGGAAGCAGTCAAGCACTGCAGATTGCCTAACAGAGCTTTGGGAAGTGTTCGGCATACACATTTATGGCATATTCTCCACATTTAACCTCCAAGTCCAAATTTTGTATTCCAGACAGGCATGATTTTAATAGCTGGTTAATTTTTTTACACACAGAGAAAAATGGATGATATGTAAAAGCTCAATGAAAGTTGCATGTGGAGGTTACATGTGAGCACTTATGGGCAGTGTGTGAAGTAATCATTTGAATGTAAAAAGTTTAAAAGTTTGAAGAGAAGCATTGCACAGCTCTAAAATTTACTGGCAGCCTGTTATACGAATTCTCAATTACATTGTAAGCTTTTATAGTATTATTTCCTCGTGGAAGTGGTTCAAATAGTTGGACCGATTTGTAATTTTCTTTATTCTTTTTATATTCAAAAGAACAATCTAAATTTGGATTGTGCCATTAAAGTATAAACTCCTACACAGATCACACATTAGCTGTGCCTCTAAAACTACACATATACGACTAATAAAATTTATGTCAAAGTCATAGTATCAGTATCAAGGGATTTTTACAACATACTGAGCATGTTTTTAATCCAGACTACTATTTTTAACTGATTTAAATTTGCAATGACTTCAAGCTTTTAACTTTAAAATATAAACTGAAAAAGCATCAGTGGCAGTTATCACATGAGCCCTGCAACAGTAAAAAAACTACATAAAAATACCAAGATGTCACTGGGGTGAAGAAACAAAAGGGTTTGTTAGATCATATTTAAAAAACAAACAAAACTAAAAAATTCACACAAAACAAAAGTCTCCTATTTCAATTTTTTTTACGTTTAAAATATCTAAATAGGCCACACAACAGGAATGTAAAATGATTCCAGTAAAAGTGTTGATAATAATATAGTGACTATAAGTTTTTTTGCAAATACTGAGGTGGAGGGTCATTGCAGCATGCACATTTTAATTAAAAATAAAGAAAAGATCAATGGAAATATACCTGCAAATAGTGCATTTTATCTTCCTGAAGCTCCCTCAATGGATAACCCTGGGGGCCCCCCCTTTCTAAGGTTGAGAATTCGTACTTGGCAATACGGTCTACCGTCATGATATCACCAGCAGAGCTATAGTCAAACGGTCTGTCAAATATTAAGTCCGGATGAATGCCTCCATCCTGGCTGTTTTCTGCAAACGCAGAAAGCATATATATATATGTATCAGGATTAAAAATCAGTGTGCTCAAAATACACAGACAGACAGACAGACGAATTGGTAAAAAATCAATAAAGAAGAAAAACAATTCCCTTTTACAGATTTTCGGTGTCCGCATTAGAATTTGAAGTTGTAAAAAATAGCTTCATGTGAAATCATAAGGATCCACTGAAGTTCTTGTACTGAACATCACGACTGACTGTCACTGTTTACTAATTAATAAGTGCTATAGATTGCAGCTAGAGCAAACTGTTGTTTAAACATATTCCCTAAAATATGTTTTGGGGCAAAAGATTGTTTGAGGGGTTCAAACTATTTTTTTTTAAACTTTAAAAAACAGTTGTAGGGCAACGTGAAATGCTGATCTTAAGGCAAAATGGGGGCACACAGCGGGATGACAGATGAGATTAGCTATTAGCACAGGCAGCTTAGCATGCATTTGAGTGAGACACAAGTACAAGAAGCAACTTTTATACATACAACTGAGTTGTGTTACACAAGGCAAACCGTCTGGAAAGAAGCAGAGCACTGGTAAAATTAAGATCACAGAATCCATTTCTTGCACATATTCCTTATGATTGCAAACTTAGAAATGGGAAAGTGCCAAATAGCATGCGGCTAACAGCAAAGTCACACACTTAACACCTACATTCATCAATATATACTGACAGCCTAAGTTCACTAATAGTTTTTGATGAAGCATATTAATCATATAATTATCATGTGACCACTAGTTATTTTTATACAGATAACCCCTTGTTCTTATATTTTACATTTTAATATTACCCATAAAAATTACAATGTAACTATATATTGCAACCAAAATACCATTGTTTATGCCAAAGTACTGCTGTTATTGCTGTAAAATCACAGTAATTTAATATGAAATCTCCTTGAAAGGGAATAAGAAGCTTTTTTTCTGTAATTTATATGAGTTATTCTATTTTTAAGGCAGAGGTGGCGAATACAGAGTTTTATTCTAGTTCAATGCCTGTAGTAACTATGATATTTTGGCCAGTGGTCCAGCAAATCCGCAGGGGGCCCTTTGGTCACATGTCGAAGGAGTAGTGACATCATGCAACTCTGTGACACTTTACTAGAGAGTAAAGCAACTTTGCAGCAAAACTTCTACAGTGGAGCTCACTTCAAAAGCACCCTAGCAGGTATTCCAGTTATATATTTCTTGAGTGTATGTCAACATATATTAATGAGACACTTTTTATGAAAATACTATCCATCCATCTCAAAATGTAGGTCACATGATAAATCCAATGACTGTAGTCATCACTGGTTGAACACAGCTTTGCTTTCTCCTTGGAACATGCTAAAGGTCCTTACCTTCGTCCACTTCATCATTGGACATGATGGCCACACATTTCTCCCAGACCATCTTGACGTCTGCTCTGTAGCGGTCGCAAGCCCACAGGAACATGGGGAGCAGGATTGATTGAGCTATGGAGCACCAGAGAACACACAGGACCATCCAGCTGTAGGAGCGGTCAAATTTCAGGCTGGCAAAGCTCACCACCTACAATGAAGCACTGCAGTTATTTACATGTTAAAAAGCAAATTCAAATAGCAACAATTCAAACTATACATATATTTATAATCATATCCTGTTTTATCCACCTACACACAGTACACAATTAGGCTCATCACTGCACTTAATTATAATAAACCATACAAAACCATACCTTTCAAACATTACAGATTTCCTGTCACTGCATAATGTATTATTAACTCCAACTTGCAATTACTATAAATATATCCAGCTCTATCTGCATACATGTACACTGACATAAAGTGATAGGGTAAGACGGGGTAAGATGCAGCTTTCTAATGATTACAACTGTGTAATTACAAATACACAAAGGACTCTTACGTTTTAACTAATTGCATTTAATAAACATTTTAATTATAATAAATTTTCATTTATTGGTGTCTGAAAACACTGAGTTTGCATACTTAAGTATATTCTTTTAAAGTGTATTATTTCCACTGTAAGTACTCTTCAGGGATATGTTAAAGTGTACTTTTTCACAAGGGTATCCCATCGCCTTGATTAACATGCTGCATAAAGACTTGAATAGAAGATTGAACATAAACAATGTATCCATAACATTTATTTTAGGCGGGACACTATTTTGATACTGATGACCTGATCACCAGAGCTACCACAAAGAACTTTGACAAAACCCCTGCTACACTATAATCATAATAATAATACTAACGGAAAAATAAAATGCAATGAAGTGCACAATTCAAAATACAGGAAAAACACCTGTAAAATATAAACACAGAAAAATTCTTCATATTAATACAGTACATCGTACCCCATCTTTACAGATTTTTTTCGCAGTGTGTAGCTGGATAAATTTCGCAAACAGATTTCCAGGCCACATTTAACCCCAAGATAATAAAATAATTATTATGAATTAGGCTTCGACACTGGCCTCAATGCACAAGACAACCATCATACATCAACCTCTTAATTTTAATATATATGAAGGATGTACATCTGATGCATCTAAAAAAAACTTACAAATATGCTATACGGTGATTTAATTGTTGTTTGTGCTTTCACTATTTTGTCAGATTGAAGGAATGGCACTCTAGCACATATGCAGTATAGTTTGCATAACTATAAATACAGTAAGCTGAGTCATAGATAAAACTCTACATCATGATTAACTCTATATCTCAATTAATAACTCTATATCTCAAATAATGTTTCACATGCATAATGCGACACATTAGTGACACATTTTTGTGCAAGGGACGATATATCATTACACCCCTATACTACTTAAAGGGGTTCTTTTATGCTTTTTCACTTTTTCAACTTTAGTTAGTCTGTAATGTTGCTGTTTGAGCATAAAAAAAAAGATCTGCAAAGTTACAAAGCTCAAAGTCCACTTCAAAAGGAGATATTTTATTTAACACGCTTAGGGAAGTTCGTGAGTGCGTGTCTAAAAGTGGAGTGGAACGCAGGCCTTCACACACAACACTGATCTTGAATGACTAGGCTATACATACCAATGTTGGTGGGGGGAAATGAACATGTGAAAACAATGAATCCTAATTATAATGCAGGTGAGGGTGACACCTGCTGGTGAAATGGCTGGATTGCATGCATGAAAAGTACTACAAAACAGTACAATAAAAAGACTGGATGGATGAAAAAGCATAGCAAACCCACTCCAACATAAGAAGAACAAACTCCACACATAAAGGCTTAAGCTGTATGATTGCTGCTGAACATGCACAAGGTGGTGGTGTTTCTTTGAGGAGGCATTCACTTGTTTCTTGTTTCATGTGTGGGATGAGATGCCTGAGAACTTTCCGACCTGCTTGTGTTCGGTCTTGTGACTTATCTATAGTGCTAGAAGGTTTACCAAGCCTCCTTTTGAACCACTTGAGTCAGCTTCAGATAGCATTCTGACTTTCAATGGCAGTCGTTGTTGGCGTTTACATCTCTTAAGAGGATTGGTGATTTACAGGCTATATCAGTGACCTCATGCTGTATGGATTTTGTTTCCTGTCTGGTGAAAGTTTTGGTTTATAGGAATGTTGCTTCTTCTCGAGCGTTTACCTAATGTTGCATCTTTGGAGGACATTTGTGTGGTGGCAGGCTGTTCCTTTCCAATACTTTTATCAGATTTTATCATCTGGACACAGATTTGAGCTATGAATTGCAACATGCAATTGTAACATCAGTTAAGTATGTAACCCTGGGTCCCTGAGAAGGCTTCAGACAATTGTCACTAGTGGTACCTATACTTCGGTACCAAGTCAATACTTAAATTTTAAAAGCGTAATTATACCAGCCTTTCCACAATACTGGTAGTACTGAGTATCGACCCGCTGACAGGCGGCTCCTTTCAAATGCTCCTGTATTTGTGTGAGTGTCTGTGAAGAGCGTCTCAGGTTTAAATTTTCAACGTGTTTTTGCAGCACTGAGCATTGTAGCCAATCACAGATACGTTTGTGCATGGGAAATGCAGTGGCCAATCAGAGGCGTGTAACTCAAAATCGCTAGAGTTCGTTTAGCTTGTGTTCTGCACTCTCGCGAACAGTTTCGCTCTAACCAGCAAAGTATAAACACGATGTAAATAAGAGATGCATCGTGCAGTATAGACTGATTTTTTTATTATAGCAGGAGATTTCACTCAGTCAGTGAGCTTGCGCTGCGGATGAACTGCACTGAAATTAGCTTCACTAAACATAAGGAGGCGTCTTTGCTCACTTTCTGTGTATAATAACCCATTCATAATTTGAATAAAAGTTTTATTTTTCATGCTAAGTGGACACTGCAGGAGTGACGACTCTTTTAAAACTGACTGTTTGACATTGTGATAACCATAGCAACGGATGGGACAAAATCAATCTGATGTGTCAGAATAGATATTGAACAATATTTGAAGGCTACATGCTAATGTTTTAATGTATTGACATATTAATTATTAATAGCATTACAATATGTTTTGCTATGGTACCAAAATTAGTACAGAGAACCGTGTGATTTGGTACTGGTATCACAACACATCCCAACAAACCAGTGGTTGAGTTCGCAACAAAAAGTATTTACTGTAAAAAAAAAAAAGATTACTGTGATTAATTATCACAACTTAAAATTAAACATTAGAATAAGTAATAATGCATTGTTTCAACTTAAAAAGTAAGTGTTCGTGCTTGACTTAAAATGATAAGTTCAGTTAACTTTAGTTAACACAAGTTGTATATTTAAGTTATCTCAACAAATTTGTTATAACTAGCATTTTTTACAGTGTTGCAGGGAGTTTTCTAACAGACACATTTGATGTCGGATCATCAAAAGCACTCTCTTCATCAATAGTCCTCAAAAAGTCAATATCATTCATAGATCAATCAAGGCAACTCCCAACTCATATTCCTATGCAAAGATAAACACCACTGATACTCCACTGAAGACTGCAGCCCTTTTTGTAAAATCATGTTCTTTTAAATGAAAGTAAACACTCACCAATATGGGGAATCCAGTTAGAAAGTCGTATATGAAGACTATTCCACTGATCAGATAGGTGATCTGCAGCGACGTCTTAATGGGCTCTGAGCCGTCGATGGATGAACGCCTCTTGCCCTGGGCATCCTCCACTACAATGGTGGGCACGTTAAATTTGTTCTTGTCCACGTTTTGACCCATCTGGATGGAAAAGGTCTGGAAGAGGGCAATTCCAATACAGATGACGCCCATCACTACACTCCCGCTGATCAGCAGCAGGAAGCAGACGGTTTCAGAAGGCGGGCCTTCATTTGATACAGAAACTATTCAAGCCGTTCATGCCAGACTGGGGAGGGAGGTGTTGTAATAATGTAAAATATGTGAAAAATAATGTGTTTTTCGAACAACCTAGTATGAGAGCCTGTTCTAGTACACCCCCAAAACAAAATCAAGACTTTGTAAAAGAGCATAATAGGACCCCTTTAATTAAATAACCAAGATACTGTAGGGCACAGTTTAGTGACTTCTCCACAGGGCTTCTCCTACTTTGAATGGCTCTCTACATATATTCTTCCACCATTAGTTTACGAATGGCTTTTCTGCCAATATCAACTGTGCAGAAGAACATATTTAACTTTCCCCACTGCACTTTGAAACAGACTAAAGTTTCTTCTTTGCAAACAGAACAGTGGTAAAGCTTTCTCTAAGATGTATCTTGTCATCAGTTTAGGTCTAGCAGCAAGGTGTTAAGTAACAAACTAGTGATTCTACACATGCACCATACATGCTAATATTCGGAGATTCTATATTTAATGGCTTTAGTGTATGAAGATGGGTAAGAATTTTAATTCTCAAAGAGTTTAAGAGCAGCACCTGAATTATTGTGGCTTGGTAGTGTTTTGTTTCAAAAGGCCTATGAGGAGAACAGCAACAGGGCATTTGATGAATGGCAGTGAAAGTGACGTGACATGTGGCCAAATATGGTGTCCCATACTCAGAATTTGTGCTCTGCATTTATCCCATCCAAGTGCACACACACACACACACACACACACACACACCATGAACACACACCCAGAGCAGTGGGCAGCCATTTGGGCATCCTCCACTACAATGGTGGGCACGTTAAATTTGTTCTTGTCCACGTTTTGACCCATCTGGATGGAAAAGGTCTGGAAGAGGGCAATTCCAATACAGATGACGCCCATCACCACACTCCCGCTGATCAGCAGCAGGAAGCAGACGCCGAAGCCCAAGCCGATCTCGGTCACAATGAAGCGACAGTTGTCATGGGTGTAAAAGCGCTCTGTGGTATCATGCCAGCCCACAGCGGGCAAGGTGGACAGAATGAACGACACCATCCAGATGCCCATGACCGTGTGGACAGCCTGCTTTTTGGTGTTACTCAACCTGGTAGAAGATAAAAGAGATTAAAGATTATAATGTTAATAATGCTAGAATGAACATACTGGTTGTATAAGAGATGAATAAAACTAGATTACAACATTGAGCTAATACTTCAATACTTCAGTTAATTTTACTGAGGATGGTTGTAACAACTGGGTGAATTGTATCACCGTCAGTTAGAAACCATTTAAAGGGATGAAATAAACATCAAACCATGTCCACACTTCTCTAATATGTGACCCTGGACCACAAAACCAGTAATAAGGGTCAATTTTTCGAAATTGAGATTTAGACATCTTCTGAAAACTGAAATAAGCTTTCCATTGATGTATGGTTTGTTAGGATAGGACAACATTTGGCCGAGATACAACTATTTGAAAATCTGGAATCTGAG